ACATATAGTATATGTGTTGTTTAATAGTCTTTAATACATGTGCAAGGTACGAATGTGTGTTATTTCACGTGTCAGGCAAACATGATGTTTCCCCATTTCTTCATAGAGCACACCACGTTGGCCGACAGAAACTGTTCGACGAAAACGCAATGTAATGTTTATTTATACATGTTTTGTTTGAAGCGCATCAGACGATATTGCATTGCAACCACGTATACAACGCGTGTATCAGTACAGTGGGTGGGAAAGTAGTAGGTAGAACCGTGAACATTTATAAAGGGCGGTGGTCGTCGCGCCGTGACCTGTTCGATATAAGACTCATAGCAACGCACACAACGCGTGTTAAATACATTGATTGTTTACTTGAAATTCGAACACGCGCTGGGCGACCACCATCTCCCTTTAACAGCAATACGTTTAACTACATGTACATTTAACGGTTTTCTTTATTTTTATATATAGAAAACATATTCGTCAACTATTGCCTCCCACAGTCGATATAACGGTTTTCAAGAAAAGAGTGGCCATACAAAACCTGACGTTTCACAATTTTGCAATAGAAGATGAAGACACAAATAAAGATAACGACAACCAAACATATACTATACCTCGACAAAAGACCTGTGCGGTCGTTGGCAATGGTGGGATTCTTTTGAATAGCAAATGTGGTGAAGAAATCAACTCCAATGATTTTGTTTTTCGTTGCAATATACCGGAAGTGCAGAACTTCACAAAAGACGTTGGCGACAAGACTAACATTACCACAGTCTGCAGTATGCAAATGTACATCGCATACAATCACCTTATTGGACAGAATCCAAACTTTCTATCGCACGTGCCATTGCAAGAATCAATTAGTTTATATCAGTTTTTGAATAACTCAATTCTCTGGTTTCCCAATCCCAATGAAAAGCTTACTGCTGAAAGGTTGCGGACTGTGTTAGAATTTTTAAAATCAAACTATAGTCTGGTGTATCAAACAGCGTACACACAGAAGAACCTGACTAAAGATTTCCAAAGGTGAGATACCATTTACTAATAAATGATATGCATGACGTGGTATATTATGATTTGCTATTTATATATATCTTATATTTTTGTCAATACTAATGATACTATGGCGGCATTATTGAAATGTCATTTTTATTGATACATATATGCATATTATGCATACATTGAATGATACATTATTTCCAGAATTTTGCCCTATGTTAATATCTTCATTAAAGCAATGTTAATAAACTTGTTATTGCGAAATCAGAAATGTACATGACTATACTATGTGTCACTATTATCTGGGCATTGTTGTTATAGCTACAAGGTATTTGATGACCATTTTCATGTGCATATCATTAATTTCTCGCATTTCAGTTTATTGAAGAAAAATCCCTCGTCTGGAATGAGAACAATTGCTGCTGCATTGTCTATGTGTGATGAAGTTAATGTATATGGATTCTATCCTCTGCATACCGATCCCCATGGCAACCCCGTGCCTCATCACTACTATGGGTATTTTGCTGAAAAGGCGTGGGACTATAAGGACGAGACTAAGCTACAAAATATGCCAGAAGAGTTTAAACTATTGCAATCCTGGCATGCAAATGGGATTATTCGGTTAGTTACAAATCCGTGTCGATTGTCAAATTAATTACAACGTATAATAGATAATTCCCAACTAATGAAATCGATGGGAAAAACTGATGGATATATTGGAATATATAGTAAACAACGACTATGAAATGAGACTCGAACACAACTGCAGGGTCATCACTGTTTAAATTTTATTTTTCGTGTGTGTTTTCTGGCTTTCATCCGAATCGAAGGCGTACATATTAGTCTGAATACGTTCAGACACTTTAAGTGGGCAGTTAGGGCGGGTGATTATTTTGCCGGAATTTGCCATAATTATATTGTTTTTTTGTTCGAGATATTTTGCATTTTAAGTTTTTTAGATGTTTACTAATTATAATTTATCACTGAACCTCGTTCCCGAAGTCCAAGAGTCTTTTATATATAATGGCCACAATTTATTTAAATGAGAAATATAGCATTACAAAAAGTCATTTCTCATACGACAAAATATATTTTCAGTGAATAATATTTAATAACATGAACAAAATGTAAGATATTCAGGTACTTACAATATTTCGCACCAAACGGAAACAACTTATTTTTTTAATTTTACAGTTAGATACATATAATAACATTCAACATTCTTTTTTTTATAGAATTTATAAAATTGATGATACTTAACATAATGGCTGACATAAAAGTTAATTAGTTGAGAATTATGAAGATTATGAAGGGTTCGAAAACTTATACATGATAAGTGAACACAGTCATAACCAAATTTACACAATTTTATCAGTTTAAAAAATATGTAGTTCATTTTTCCACTGTCCACTTACATGGACGACTCCTATAAATGAAAAATTACAAAAACAAATAATGAAATATAAAAATAAATACAAACTGAAAATGCTGCCACAAGTTTCTTTACTGTGCAAAATCTAACCATCCAGTGCATTGAAAAAGTCGTGGAACGAGCATGTTTTAATTACAATGAACGTAACAATTTTGATGAACATTTTTGCAAAATCGTTCTGGAGATTTTAAAATGTTATTCAAAACAACAATATTCTTCATTTACTTCATACTGTTTACTTTCTTCCTGACACGATTGATTGCACCTGCCAACAAGGTATTTTATCTGGTAAGAATATGTTTGAGATGTGGGTGCAACAGATTTTAACACACACACACACATACATACACACACACACCCACACCCACACGGAAACAATATAACTCATATAGTCAAAAAAAATCAGTTGATCGAAAACGAATTCCACTGAGCAGCCAACTGTTGCCTATAACATTTACCTGGTCGTACACGGGTTGCTGATTGATGGATGTAATAATACTCGGGGTACTAACTTGAGAGTCCAAACAAATTGCCTTTTATAAAGGTATGGTTGCAAACTTTAACTGATGAGATAGATTTTTAGTATAGTGTGAAATAGTAATAATTTGGTTAATTCTTGTATAAACAAATACTTTCCGTTTTCGACATTGTGAAATTTTTACCAAGTGAAGTCATATTTCAAGACAATTCAAGATAATTCAAGACAAATGAAATGCAAAAATATCGAGAATATAACGAATTATGTTTAAAAAATTAGTAGTGGTGTGCATGTGTAATAAAATTTATTATGAAATATTTTAATATTGAGTTCAACAAAAAACTCAAAATCGGTTTTTATTTCAGGTCTTCCCCCCAAAACGAAATTTCACAATTTTGAAAAGGGAAAGTTTTTATCTTAGTGTTATATGTCCATGCCAATAGAGACTTCTGAACAAATAAATACGAGAAGTATGTCAATCATATTAGAATATATACTTTCACTTGGTATTAGCAATACACTTAAAGTTGTTGATGAGCACTAGTCCGTACAGGAGTATCTGTATCTGCAGTCAGCCTTAAGAAATGTGTTTGGATCTGAAAGCGATGATCTAGATAAACTAATACATGCCTTCATTGAACAAATAGTAATACAAAACAAATAGAGACAACATTGCTAAATACGAGGTGTATAAACATCGATGAAAAATACCGTAAAGCATTGACATGTGTAGTATAATCTAGGTTTTCGACCAACTATCATGTTTGATGTCAAATATTTGCAACTTGTACTCAGGAGAGCGGCATATTCTAGAAATGAACACCTAAAAAATGCATTATCAATATATTTTCAATATCACCAAAATAGAAAAAAACTAAAGACAAGGGAATAAAATGTATTCTTGTTGTAAATTAACTCTATCAGTGTTTATCTAACTTCTCTCAAACTTAGGTATTATATATTATGGTTCTCGGGTAATTTCGATTATGGTGTATCTACCAAGTGCAATGGGGGTAATGGGGAGATAGTAGAAATAAGCGGACAGAATGGAAACATTTATAATGCTGGTAATGAGAAGTAGATGTTAGTAATATGCTCTCCAAGATCTGTCAAGTGTACTAAACCGATATGTTGTTTTATTATATGTATAAATCAGAACAAAGTGTAGTTTTCCTTCCTTTTCAAAGGAAAAGTTAAAGATTATTAAAATACATGTAGTACTGGTTGTAGAACTCGTTTGCTAAGATTTATCTTGCTAAGTTTTGCTTTGATATGTTGCTGTACTACATATTCTTTTAGAAATATTATACAATTCATGTTATATTATTCTATAAGAAATATTGAGATTAATACAGTGCATTTAGTATTGAGAAACACATTGGCCAGTATTTTTCTTACCACATTTTGCATAGATATATTGCTGTATTATTGTTATTTATTTAGAAACTTTTATACAATTGATGTTATGTTATTCTATAAGGGACATTGAGATTAATAAAGTACATGAATTATATGAGAAACATGAATATTATTTTTTTTTGTATTTGATTGTTTCTCTGCTCTTGATCGAAACTGTTCCAATCTAACGTTTAGCCAGTAAATAATTGCATTGTTTCACCAATTGTATAGTCCCTCTTGCCAATCTATTATCATTAGTTTTATTTTTATCCATCCTTATGTTTGTTATTCAATCTAGATTCTGGCATAACTTGTGGTGTTACAAAAAGCAGTATTTAGTGTGGCGCAAGAAAGATATCAATATTGCTTTTAAAATGTCACACGCTATCCCCGGTTTTACCCGCGAATGACCTCTTTATATTATGTGCACATAAATCACAAAACTGACTACTAGAATAACTACATGAAGTGTTAGTATTCTATTGAATAAAATTGAAAACCATCAAGTAAATTTACCCACCATTTTAATTGAAGTAGCGAAATTGTAGAAATATGCAAGATATAAAGCTTTTACCAAATACCATGCGACACATTTCTATATTCAAAATGAAATGAACTACTATATATTGAAAACATATCGGGTTTGTCCAATATGACAATCAGGGATATCGACGTAATCCTATTTAATAAAGAGTGAGCGCTTCTGTTTATGTTTACAGTTCCTATCCCAATATATCAAATTAAATATGTGTGTTTTTATGAATATGTCTATTATAGAATCAATTTGTTTAAAATGTATGAATGCATTTTTAATTACAAGCTGTCGTTTACTGACGCGAAATAATCTCTCGACAGCTGACACTTCTCTTGACTCTTTGCAATTTTGGAATAATGATTTCGTCATTGTTGTTTAGAAAAATAAACCTTTTCGTATTCTTAACTACCGCAGTATGTTTCTACGTGCTGTACGATAACAGTAATGTACATAGTCGGCCTCCGGCCTCCGACAAACTGTCGTTTACTGACGTGAAATAATCTCTCGACAGCTGACACTTCTCTTGACTCTTTGCAATTTTGGAATAATGATTTCGTCATTGTTGTTTAGAAAAATAAACCTTTTCGTATTCTTAACTACCGCAGTATGTTTCTACGTGCTGTACGATAACAGTAATGTACATAATCGGCCTCCGTACAACAAGGAGTATAACATCAGTAACCCGATACCACCAACAAGGTATTTATATCTATATTCTATCCAGAAAAAATCAAGTCAACAACATACTTGTGTCAGATAAAACTATTGTCGTGTTTTGGATCACGTCTCTCGGTTGATATTCACACCACAAAACATATTATTATCAAATCATGTATTAATTCGAGTTTTTTAGCGTCTCTAATGTAAAACTGTAAAACATACTTTTCTGTTCTGCTATAAAACTCGTACGACAAATACGAGGCAAATCAAAGTGCACGTCTAATATGTAATAACGAGAAGGACCAATTTGTATCATATCACATACACTCGCTTAATAAAAGTAGATAAAGAATTACCTGCATTATATTTGTTTTCTTTGAGACATGTACTCGAGGTCAGTCAATATAAATGCATTGTTTCCTTATCTTAAATAGAAAACATATTCGTCAAGTACTGCCAACCACACTCTCCATTAAGGTTTACAAGAAAAAGCTAGCAATACAAAACATGACGTTCCCCACTTTTTCGTTAAATGATGGAGACATAAAGATGGAAAACGATAACCAGACATACACTTTACCAAGGCGGAAGACATGTGCAGTTGTTGGTAATGGTGGTATTCTTTTGAATAGCAAATGTGGCGAGGAAATCAACTCCAGTGACTTTGTTTTCCGTTGCAATATACCGGAAGTGAAGAACTTCGTGGAGGACGTAGGTGACAAGACTAACATTACCACTGTCTGTAGTATGCAAATGTACATTGCATACAACCACCTTATTGGACAAAATCAGAACTTTTTATTGCGTGTGTCATTGAAAGACTCAATTCGTTTACTGCAGTTTTTCAATAACTCCATTCTATGGTTTCCTAATCCCAAGGAAAAACTCACTGGCGAGAAGCTACGTGCTGTGTTATCATTTTTAAAATCAAATTATGGTCTTGTTTACCAAACAGCGTATTCGAATAGGAACCTTGGTAACCATTTCCAACGGTGAGTCTGTCTATATGTGTATTTCATCATTTTGTTACCTAACAATATTTTTTTTGTCAGGTGATTGTGAAAGTTCTGTGGATTTCGGTTCATGATGTGCACGGTCACAGGTGTGAATATATGACTTTGCGCTGTATTATTATATCAATATTTTGATGTGTCGATCAAACATTCACTTGCCAATTAGTCTAATGATTCATAATGACAATATGCCAAAAACTGAGCAACATGGTTAAAATTATTTGAATTTTCTATGAACTTATTTCCAAACATGTCCCTTGTAAATCTTGCATAATTGTCTCATATTTAGAACTAACATTTACTAATGACGTTTGATATAGTTACCAAGTGCGGTATCATCCGATCACGGTACACGGTAACTTATCGAGATATGAGGACAATAGCAATAGTAATTATTACAGGACTAGCCACGAACGAGGAATGGTGTATTCGTTGCAAGTGATCTTTCTTTAGCACTAGTATTTGTCAGTGCAACATGATAAGCCATGTGTATTATGATTTTGTTTACATTTCAGCCTTTTATCCAAAAACCCGTCGTCTGGAATGAGAACAATTGCTGCGGCACTGTCTATGTGTGATGAAGTTAATGTATATGGATTTTATCCTCTGCATACTGATCCCCATGGCAACCCCGTGCCACATCACTACTATGGGTATTTTGCTGAAAAGACGTGGGATTATGAAGACGAGACTAAACCACAAAACATGACGGAAGAGTTTAAAATATTACAATCCTGGCACGCAAATGGGATAATTCGCTTAATAACAAGTCCATGTAGATTATCGGATTGACAATATCGTCTCGTCGAACGAAGATGCAGCTACCACGATTCATCATAGAAATAGAAGATAATATGTATTTACAGATTCCTATCTCATGTATGGCAACCGAATGAATACCAATCGCGCTGTAACATGAAAGGTCATGTGTTAACTGCACCTGGCTTCAATGTAGTACTGTTTTAATTTTCACCTTTCTCACCGAACATGGATATTTTATTATCAATTAGACTAGTTGTACAGTCAAACAGAATAAATTAACACCACTTCCTTCGTTGAAATATATTATATTAGTGAGTAATTGTGTTCAGAGAAAGACTACATCTTATCCTATTTTTCAATTGTTTAATAATGATAATTATGGGATAGCTGCGTTTTATACCTCATAAACACATAATCTTAAACAAACTCGATTCTCTTGTTTTACACATTCATGTCATGTTATTTGTGATGAAATCCAATTAACTGTCAGGATTAACTGACACAGCATTACCAAAAACTCTGTAATGTATATATACATTCAATGGTGTCAGCTGGTAATACCATAAATACCCACTATAACTGGTTATTCATATTCACTCACGTCTCTTGCAATAATTTGCATACTCACGGGGATAGTAAATAGGTCATTTAAAAAATCGAAACGCCACACAACGGTGCAACGAAAGAGAAATCCCCTCGGAGATAGATGATTTATGCACTATTTTGTTGTAAATAATCTTCCTTACCACCATAATTTCAAATTGTACTTAATCACTGAAAATGTACTAATCGTATTTTATATGCAGACTCATACAGCGCTTCATAAACTCGTCTTATTTCAGACAGAATTGTAGAGAGCATTGCATGATCAATATTATCGGGCCAACAATAAGTGGGATATATGATAATTACGTTTCTTCAACTCCAGAAGATATCTAAATGTTTAAAAGTATTTTCGAATAACATTCATTCATTTTCTGTTATTGTTTTTTTAGTCTGACGGTATGGTAAATGTGAATTTTATATTTTGAAATAAGATTAAGTCACCGATAGTGTAATACACTGTACATGGATTTTATATCATTGATATTACCAAGTACGCTGGAATTAAATTTTGAAAATGATAGTCCTTGAATTGAATATTGTGATAAATATTGATAGAAACGGGCACAATATCACTCTACTAAAATGCCTCTCTTCTAGGTAGAGCAGTAAAATTATGTCCAAATGTTCACTATATCGTATTTATCTTTAAAACTACAACATTTACATTCATACTGTTCTAGACAGAGTACTACCTCAACAACAAAGTTTGTGTATAATGGTGAATACAGTATTATCTAGTTTGTCTAGACCAATATATAGTAATTTTTATTTTAAATTCAGGTGAATATTTTCGCTGATTCAGAATAACTCACCAGATCATAGGTTTTGAATGTGAACATTTTAAACTTGATTGTCATAATATTTAAATTGGCCCAAATCACAACAGTACAAACGTAAGCGCACAAACATAAGACATTAGAACATGCAACAACAATGTAACAATACCAAATACGTTCAAATAAAAACACAGTAACAACGATTCAATACCGCTTCAAAAGATCAACTGAACGATAAGTGCAAATAAAAGGATTTAGACCAAATATTCATAAGTCATCAAATCAAACATAAGATTTGGTGTAAATGCAGTGCCCGCAGTAGAATTCGACATTGTTTTGTGCATTACTACGACTGAAATTTCCTTCTAAATTGACATGGATAACTTATTTACTGTACATTGATAATTATTTATTCGTTTCTGGTTTTCTTGCAACCGAAAATATTTGGTGATTGACTTGGTGCCGCTAGTTTAAACAATAAATAGTACTGTTAGTTTGCGGTCAAAATGGACAATTTCTTAATATTGAACGCACAGGATAATGCTCCTAAATTATATAAAACCTTACCTGATACGTAGATAGATGTCCGTAAACAATATGTAAATCCCCACTGACTTGCACTGTAATGCAAGATAACAACACCTAATAGTATGTAGTTACATGGTGGGAAAAAAATAATTCCGATGAATGAATGAATATACAGATGATTGTTTCTAAATAGCAAACCCAAAGAGCGTGATCGGTCTACAATGCCATATTCTACGTTGATCATTCGGTGATATATTCAAGTACAATTTTGAAATATTCTTTCTTATTATAGGAACGTTATACTTTGTTCTGCATACATTGTTCTGACTACATACCATATCGCAATACTCAATTCCAATGCATTGTGGGATTGATGTGATGTTGCACGAGATGACGTGCTTTATGATTGACGGAGTTGTGTTAGAATCGGTCAAAAATAACCAAAATTAGTCTATGCAATGTATTATCATGAACACATCACTCGCTAGTGTGCTTCGCGTTTCTTTATTATACCATGCACAGTATTGAAAGATTCAGTGATCGACTGTGTATTAATTTACATTAATAAAAAAAAATGTATTGTACGCTTTTGGCATTTACTCATGTTTATTCAAAGTACAGTATGACATTAAACGAGGAACCTTTTAAGTAAATTTTTCAATTTTGCACCATGATTTAAGTTACACAGCATTAGCAAAGTTGCAAGGCCTGGTTTATATTTTACAGGCAAGTAGCTATGACAATGTCGGTTTATGTATAGTTATCTCTAACAATTATACTTTGCAAAAGAACAAACGTTTACAAAAATATAACGTGGTATAATAAACGTTGTTTGTGACGTTTGGTATGAATTGTCACAACGTGTCATTGTAAAAAGTATTCAATGCACGCTATATAAATTGTCTCTTCACTTAAATAATTAAATGTTGTACCTCCAAAGCCGACTTACTGACATTGTTGTAATAAATGTAAAAAAACTAAAGTTGATAGAAAGATTTGGTCTACACCTAACCATCAGTGATTCGATGATAAACACTGTGCACATTGTGAAAACAAGGTCAATTCCGATATGATTTCATTTAATTATTTGAAATGACTTTTATTTATTATTTACCCATCAACATAATCAAAATTTACATGTGTACATTGCGAAAATAACTTTAATCTGAATTTCTTTGATCATAGTTCACGAGCTCCAGAGATATCTCCTGATCTCGATCATTAAGCATTGTTTTTGGACAAGACAGAAAACGTTCGAACGTTTGAAAAAAAATAATGAAGAATGCTGGAATTATAAATCATGAAAATAATTGGTACACCCTATCACACCAACCCAACGATTACAGAGCTCTCAAGAATGTATATAGCATCGTGATGTCCTGGCCTAGGACAGTCGTGAGTTCAGAAATATTTACAACGTCACACACTGTATCTGCGTAATAGCCTTGACAGAACTGCGATGATAGGTTCTGCAAACAATGCACTGTGTATGTCAAAACATAACATCACCAGTCCAAAACGGCACAGTAAAAAATAACCAATTATCGATGTGCATCATAAAATCTGCACTGATATTAAAAGTACAAATACACTTTTACTCATAACAAAGTTTCACATCTGGACAAATAATAAACATATCTCAGAAAAACAACCAGGCAGTAATGTGAAATGAATGAGAAAACCTTTATTTCATGGTATATACAAGATCCTAACAAAATCATGATTATCACCATCCCCAACAAAATTTCTAGATAGTGTCTTCAAGTGACAGTTGATGATCCTGACCAAACCTAGTTGAATCATTCCTGACTGCTTTTGGCTAATGGTGATCAACCAACATGATATCAAATGTACCATCAATACCTCAGTGATTTTGACACAACTCCCATGGATCACCCCTAACCCTCACATAATCCTAGTTTCCTGTTTCCCTTATCACGGTTACTCCATAATTGTTTCAGCTCCACAAAAACGTTCCTGCTGTTCTGTAATTAATTTCCTTCTTAAGTACGTACTATTTTGATTCATACGAAAAACACGCTGGTCCTCTGTGAAGTTTCCATTGTAGTTTTCTATTTTTCTCCATTGTGTTTTGTTGAAATGTTGATATAACATAATATCTGCTGCATTCCATGTGACATTATTGCATTTTGTGTGTTTGTGATTGGTGGTAACGTTTTACTATTTACTTTGGATGAATGATACATGACATCATTGTTATCCCAAAACATCATTTTTTTTAAGATTACCAAAGACTCATCCAGATATTCAGTGATCAATACTAGATCTAGTTCATTGTCAAGTTCTTCTATTTTGTGATTAACTGCAGTTAAGTTGTCATGGGTTTCATATGCAAGCCTAGTGTAACCAAGCCGCACAAGTTGCCCATTTCTCCATTGGTGAGACATGCCATTGTTCTCTAATTTATAATAATGGGTTAGTATAATTCTGCAGATTAAGCTTGTTATATGCCTTGTAGTAATAAAATGCAGATCGAATTTGTGTGTAAGGATTACGAAGTATTGTTATGAATTTAGATTTCGGAATCAACCTCTGTAAAGCTGTGTGATTGTACCAACTCAGATGGTTTGCTAAGCCGTCATAATCTTGAACTGTCGTATTACATGTAAACATATTTATCATAACCATGCCATTCAGTATTCTTATTTCAGTTTTAGATGTAGACGACGGGAGTGTAGCTACTAAATTGTGTGTGATCATATATTGTAAAAATATTGAACCAACTGTGGATCCTGCTGTCTTGGTCGTTTTGACAAAAATGAACTTTTGTATTGGTCTGCAAATGCGTGATTGATCATCATGGTCAGGATAGTCGATCTTGTCCAGGTGATGGTTTGTCAGAGCTGTAGTTTTTTTTAAATGGGTAGTTACCACCATAAATCTGCTTAGTATGAGGTTTCCACCTGTAAAATGCAATATATATTTCCACATTACTACAGTGAATAAGAATAATTCGTTATTCATAACTATATATATTTCATATGTGGCATGTTTTGCTGACAAATGACTCTGGAGTTATTTACTGAATAAGCGTCCTCAACGTACACCATCAAAGATTTGACCACGCCATTGATGAACTCTATTTATGTGTGAATATTC